CCTTGGTTACTTCATCTCAAGTAGCCCTTCATTATACCAATTGACATTTTTACTCCTTAAACTGTGTTTCCTTGTTACTTAGTTATATGTATTTTTTCAGTTAAAAACTATTTGGCCAGTTTTTCTACTGTTTCTGTTTAAAATTATATTCTTTTCATCTGTTAAATAGTATTTGATAACCATTGATTGAATTTTCTTTTTTTAGGATTTGACAATGTAGATGCAGGAATTGCTGCTTTTGTTTTGAAATCTCCTCTATGTGAATTGAAGGGACATGAGGGTACATTGCTTTCCTTACATTTATTTTTTTTTTGTTACTTTTTCCATTTTCCTTTTATTAAATTTTTCCTTTTTTCTCTTACTCCAACTCTGTTTTTTTCCACAAAGGTGCAGTGATTGCTGCTGATTGGTTCACTTCAGGGAAGCAGGTGGTCACTGCTTCGTGGGATCGCAGTGCTAAACTGTGGGATGTGGAGACTGCTGAACAAGTTCATCAGTTGACTGGTAACTGTGTGATTGAAGTGTTTTTGTATTTGATTTGATTTAACTGTATCACTCCAAAGATCTCATTGGTAATTCTCCTTACTGTCTGCCGTACAATTCTTATGATGTAAGTTTGGAGAATTTGGTATTTAATCAACTAATAATCCCCTAGTTGATATTTTCCTTTATTCTCATCACATTGATGATATTGAATGGATTTTGAAAGGAGAAATTATGTCTTGGTCACTCATGGGAGGTAAAGGGTTAAATAGAATGTTCCACCAAGACTATTACCTGCTATTTGCAGGTTGGGCAACTGTAACTTAACCCTTTAAACATTAAGAGTGACTAGCATCAAATTTCTCCCTACAATATCATCCCTGGATCACATGTTTAGGTCATGAGAATAAAGGAAATGATCACCAAGGAAAGAAGCTTTTGATTGGTAAACAAATTCTCCTTGTCAGCACCTTAGGAAATGTATAAAGAACAGTATGGAGAATATGCATACTGATTTTAGTGTGAAAAGGGATAAAAAGTTAAGTATAGATCACTGTTGTTGATACTGGTTAATAAAGAGGAAGCTAAGCTGGTGTTAAAACCTGGAGGATAATTTCTCTTCAGCTTAAAAACAACTTTACTTTATATTTGTATTAATTTTGCTTACTAGCCTTAAATCTAATACTTTGAATGCAATCCAAGGAATAAAGTATTTACAGGATCATTTCACATTTCATCCATCAGGTCATGATCAAGAACTAACACATACCTGTACCCACCCCACTCAGCAGCTGATTGTCACCTCGTCTACGGACACAACATTCCGTTTGTGGGACTTTCGGACACCTTCCATTCATTCAGTCAATGTGTTCCAGGGACACTCCGAGTAAGACAAAAATCAATTGCTTGGAAATTTTTAAGAAAACCTGACATATTTCAGCTGCGTGGGAAGTGAATGAAGTTGTATGGGCAGTGGTGTAAACTGATTCTATGAATTATTAACGAGAGAAGTCTCGTAACTGTTCTGTTATTACTCTGGCAGCTAAGTGAAGGAAAAATGTTCTGTCTATTTAATTTGCCCCATCAAAAATTCGTTTACAAGTGTTGTTGTTTGTTCATAGTACGGTCAGATCAACTGCTTTCACGACAAAGGATATCGTTGTAAGTGGCAGTGATGATAGAACCGTTAAGGTTAGTGTTCCTTTCTGTGTTGTTTGTTTGGGGACAGGTGTTGTGATTCCAGCTACAGGGGGTTAAGAATTGTGCAAAAGGGGACTGGGAGACACTGAGCGGGGATCTGGGGGAAACTGAAAAATGGGGTATAAGAAAGGAATGTCGAAAGGGACTGGGAGCTAGGGATACGGGAAACTAAAACAGGGTGGACTAGCAACTAGGGCACGAGGAAAGATGAATTGGGGAACAGGACATTGGAGATTATGGCTCAGGAGATAGGAATGAGAAAACCGAACAGTTGGGGTTGGGAATTATGATGTAGCGTTATCAGGGTGAAAGGTGTTAAGGTCAGTGTCGAGTGGTACTATTGAAAGGTTGAGGTCTGGATGTTGCCGAATGGGGATCTAGCCCAGGTTAAGGAGGATTGAGGATTCCGCTTTGCAGAGAGGAGTGAGTGTTTTTTAATATAGAGCAATGGAATTCGAAATTAAGGGGTCAGAGTGAAAGATAGGCACTGGTTCTGTCATGATTGGTAGATTGAATAAAGGAAGTCTACATAAGGCGAGCAGGCAGTTTTAAAGAAATCTGCTCACGCTGTTTTCGCTGCGCCTTCTGGAGACTCAGTCTGGAAACATTTTCTCTTAGGTCTGGGATCTGAAGAACATGCGCTCTCCTTTGACAACAATCAGCACAGATTCGTCTATTAACAGGTAATTGAATCAAAGCACATGTAATGGAGACAAAACTGGGGCTAAGGCACTCGATCAGCAGTTTTTCCTTTGTACTCAGGCTCTTTTTTCAAGTGGCTTGTCTCAATCTGAAAAATCTTCAACTTCAAAGTTAAAATAACCTCACAGTACCTTCCAAGAATGCATTCTGTTCTAATTATTTCAATAAATGTTTAAATTGTTTGCACAGACTCTCCGTATCACCAGTAAATAACGTGATTGCCCTTCCTCACGACAATCGGCATATTCGCCTGTTTGACATCAGTGGAGTGCGACTCGCGCGACTGCCTCGTAGGAATGGTCAGGTAAGTGTATGTCTGTATCTTGAACTCTGGTTGGACTCTATGCAACAGTTTGATAGAGCAATTTTCACTTCAATGTCACTGATAACCTGGGATTGCATTGGTCTTTAGAGTACCGTGCTATTTGATTGGTCTAGAAAACTCGCGCCACCTATTTGACCAATCAAATGCAAGTCAAAACAAGTCGCGACTTTTGTACTCACGCCTTCTTGCTCTTTTGGCAAAGAGCTTGTTTTTACATCAAGCTCTAATTAGCTTCCTGGAAAATTTTCGTTTGTCCTGATTCGCTGTTATGATTTCTTTCGTGATGCTCGTCGTAAGTCTTCCCTTCAGCAGCACCAACTGCATGGTTTTCTTTGAGTTCTGATTGGCTAGATAAGTTGCTATCATAACTGTGATTGGTTAGACTTGGTGTCCTTAGTTTTAGTTCTCCCAAATTTTCCCGGAAACCACTTCACTGAATTATTCTGTTCGAATTTCAGGGTCATCAACGAATGGTTTGCTGTACTTCTTGGGGAGAGGAAACCAGCACTAAGGCTTGCAATTTGTTTTCATGTGGTTTCGACAGAAGAGTGCTTGGATGGCAAGTCAGAGAAGAGAAGGATAAGTGATTGGGAAGAGGTTGCGGGCGTGAAGCTGTCACGCAATGATTTACGCCATTGCTCGTCACGCAACGTTCTTCAGAAGAAGGAAGAGTCACGTGCAAGTTGGAGGAGTGCTGCATGTTAATTTACATTTTTAAGGAATATTTTACACTTGAGCAAATGTTGCGTAAAGCAAAGAAGAGTGGAATTTTAAATGTACGGGTCTAATATAATTTATTTATAATGGCACCAACGAAAATGTAAGTTTAAGAGTGTAGTTTTCACTTGGATTTATGAGGCCGAGTTGTTTGTACGACAAATTTGCCTGAAATAAATAAGAATGAAATCATATCACGGTGTGCATATAGTTTATTCATGTCAAAACAATTTGTGCAGGTGAAATTTCACTTGTTGGTCGCCTCTCTTTATGGGCCCTTTCAATTCCTCCTCGATGCAATTGTGACTTGATGCTTTCCACCGAGTTTTTGCCTCCAAAGAGGCTTTATATTAATTGTGTTTTTGCTCTCACAGGAAATTTTAAGTCAGACTTTTTACCGTAACAAATATTTCGGAAGATCTCATCCAGTTAAAAAAAAAAACAGTTGTAAAACAACAAAGTGGATACATGAAAATACTGCGTTTTTAAACCTTGAAGTAGACGGAATTTAAATCCAATATTTTTCTATGGAATCTTCAGGGACAATTTTCAACAAAAAGACGATTCGGTTTTCGATCTTTTCACTCAAGGCAGAATTCGCTGAAAGTTAAATCAAATCTATCGGCTGCAAAACTCTCTTTAAATTTTGGGTGTCCACTATTCAGGAGGCTCCATACGGTTTTTGCTTAATGTTGGCGCGCGCGTCAGCGTAACGTTTTTCTTGAAAATTTGTACGTTTTCGCTTTTCAAGGTCACTAACAGCCATCAAGATGCAACAAGCAAGGTTCGGACTATCTGTTTTTGTAGTAAATATTATTAAAGTTATTTTCGATATTAAGCCAAGGCTACACGAAGGGAGGCGCTCACCAGCGATAATTTGGCTTTGCCTTTGATTTTCTTCAATTTGCGTCGGTGAAATCTCTCAAAATTGTCACTGTTTGTGAAATTGCCCTGCCGATTATTTAAAACCTGAAAAAATAGGGGTTACCAAGGCAGTTTCCTCGCTATTTGCAATTTTGTGTTTTCTTCCTCTATCTCAAATTTGGTCTTCTGATTTTTTGTTATCAACATGCAGTGAAGGAAGGGCACAAATTTGTTCAACGCTCCAGCAAATCTTGGGAAAACGCGATAAATCTGTTTGTTTTGCATGTCTTGTACTACGTCCGCGCCCAGATCTCACGCGGTCAAAAAACCCCATTTTAAGGGTCAGCAGAAGCTATTTTAATTTCCGACATAGCTTTTGATTGACAATTGCATGTTAATTGACGAACCTTTTTCAATTGTACGCAAGGTTGTCTTAAGATTCGATTTTTTACTTTTTCATCCGTGGGTCTGTCAGTAATGATTTCTTTCAAATATTTGTGGACAGACTGTTACATGAAGTTCCTGATTATGAAGATTTAGTGTAAAGGAATGGTAACCGAAAACCTTTCACTAAATTTGTTCCTTTGTCCCGCAAACAAAACAAACGGAAACAATACAATGTCAATCCAAAGTCAATGAATGTTTGAATACTTGACGTATTGAAAGACTAATCTTTGTCGCAGCAATGATCCGGTTTTTACGCGAAGTAGTTTACAATAGGAAAAATTATACGGCAAGGCAAACTGTTACACGTACTATAAAAGAGTTGTTTTAGTGCTCAGGGTTATTATTCTTTGGTCGTACAAGAACAGGCCGGGCATTATCTAGATACTTATTCGCGAGGTGAGGGGACAATTGTTGCTTCACCGGTTTTGTGTTTCCGCGTTGTTCTTTAGTAGACATTAGTAGAGTCAAATCTCTAATGTGACCTAACACTAAAGGCCTAGGCTTCTAGGGGTTTGGTTTAAGTTTTGTCCTTCAATTTTGTTTTTTTCTTTTCCTTTTAAGTACTGATAACTTACAGAGACAACAAAAACCATGCATAGGTTGATAATGACCGCGCTTGCATTGTTCATTCTGATCCTACACTTGGCGTTCTCTGCGAACCAGTCGGTAAGTAATTTTTTTCCTTGGTTCTTGAAGGAGTTCCAACACGTCAAAGGCAATTGATAAATCACGAGTATTTATTTGCTTAGGTTTTCTCAATAATAATCCTATGCGGACATATCGAGAGGCGCCAGTTGTGCAAAATCCGAAGCCGACACGACATACATCGAGAGCGACAGTTTTCCAGTCGATACTTAACTTTCAACGCTGAATGTTATTGCGAAGAGAAGACCACGTTATAATAATGAACCACGCTTCGTATGAACCCTGCAGTACCACGTCCCAAAATTGTTCGTCTCAGTTTTTTAGGCAATTTATACCCAGGAAAACTACTGGATATCCTGACATCTTTAATTTAAACTTGTCGGTAACCATACTCTTCTTCCGTGACGTCACTATTAGGTAAATTGTCAGTCTCAACCAGCCTCCTGTTGCTCAGTGCATACAACTAGTTGTGCACCAGGGTTCCCTGGCATGCCTGGGCATAACGGAAGAGACGGTGCTAGAGGATCAAAGGGAGCACCTGGTAAAAAGGGACCTGCCGGCCCTGTAGGACCTAAGGGTGATCAAGGTCCCGCAGGAGCACCAGGGAAAAAGGGCTCCCAAGGAGATCAGGGCCCTGCTGGAGTAGTTCCTCAAAGGAACTGGAAACAATGCACGTGGAAGCCTCTGGAGGACGGCAGAGATTATGGGTTGATAAAGGTTTGTTTTCATTATTTTAGTGGACGTCTAACGTTTTTGTTCGTTTACCGACTGTTGCAAAGCCCATGTGAAATGATCTCTCTGTTGCAGGATTGTATCTTCGTTAAAAAAAGCTCAGACACCGTCTTGAAAGTTGAGTTCGACGGCGATTTCAGAGTAGCCTTTTGTAAAAGGTGTTGTAAACGTTGGTATTTCACTTTCAACGGCATTGAGTGCGCTAAACCAGCTCCCATCGAAGGTATTGACGCCATTTGGCGAAATCATGGTAGAACAGACACCAACGTTCACAAGCACAGTCAAATCGGAGGATACTGCGAGGGGATTGGATTGGGAACCGTTCGCGTGGGAGTGGCGGTTGGTGATTGTCCAGGATTCGGAAAAGGTTTTGACGCCTACACCGGGCACAAGTCTGTCACGCGGATCATGATCGAGGAAGTCCCTAAACCACAATAAATGTACGGCCCTAAACAAAATCAGCCAGTAGCAGATTAGTTCCACTTGTCGAAATTGATAAGACTGTAACTTAAAAAGAAAAAGAGACATCTTAATTCTGTGGGAAACGTAGAACTTTGATAAGGTGAAGGAAAGCTATGATGAGTTCCAATAAAATGAGCCTAATGGAACACTCGCTTTTACCTCATTATTGGCAATGATGCGCATTTTTCACGCACGTCTCGCAAACGCACCCGAGCACCATAGAGTATCCACCAACAATAAATTAAGTTGAAATTCTACTCCTCGAAGAGTTCACAATTTGAAAAATCTGAAACAAACTAAGGAAGATAGGAACAAAAAGGAAAAAAATTGGATAAGCGACAGGTTGTCTCAACAGGGGCTCAAGACCCAAGGCTATAAGCTTATGGCGTCACATATTAGGCAACAAGAGAGTCTCACTAAAACACCAGTCTCAAATTTTAGACAAAAGTGGCCGGTTTTAGTAGCCATAGAGTCCGATGAAAGACAATTATGTCCGATTTTAGACGCAAGTGTCCTAGTTTGGTGTACGTTTTCTTTTTCTGCCGAAAACTTTACTGTCAAAAATTAAATTGTTCGTCGTCTTGACTTCCCGGCCTCTCCCCAAGCCCTTCCGCTTCCTCCTCATCCCATAACTTTTTCCACCAAGGAAGCTTGAGTCCGCGCATTTCCTCGTTGTGACACTGCTGTGCCCTGGCTATCACGGGCGCTGATCTTGAAGTAAAAGAGTCAAGAATGTCGGGAGTAACCTCATGAAGCTTTGGAGAAGCTGTAAAAATAATAACAAAATGAGTTCAAAGAAAAAATTTACACTAAGTTGGAAGAGAAAAGTAGCTTTCAACTCATTCACCACCGCAATTCGTCCACTTGGTTCGTAAATAATTCTTAAAACAACAGACCACAAGAAATGCTTTCTTTAAGGCGATTTCCAAACTTTTCTCCAATGTTCTCAACAGGCGCTGAAAAGTTCCCTTTATATACACATATCCATTGCCCAGTGACTGATTTCTAGGTATACTTTTTATTGTTTCGCTTTCTCTGAATCGCCGAAAAAAAAAAGAGGCGAATTTATTTTTCAGTCCCCAGTCACCTAAGAGCTGATCTGCCTCCACGTTCAGCCTGGCCAGCAACGCTTCCCTTCTCTGTTCACTCTTTCTTATCTTCATGTTAGACAACACGTGATTGGCAAGAAGTGAAAACGCCTGGGTGAAAAAAAAATGGAAAGTTTAAAGTGAATGTTTCTTTTCAAACTAAGAACTCCACACTCTCAATTAAAACCCGGAAATAAGTACTCGGGGCGAAAATGCCCAGCAACTACCAACAATAGTCCGCAAGTGGCAACTATAATACAAGCTCTCTTGACCTTATCTGGTACCCATATCCTACCTTTTAACTGTAACTGAAATGTAGCTCGGCCGTGGAAGGTCTGGGTACGAGACTAATCTTGACCTTACACTTTACACACCCGGCCCCTAAAGGTTTATTTTAACCCTTTAACTCCTATAAGTGATCAAGAAAGAATTTCTCCTTAGACTATCTTTACAATATCAACCAGATAAGTGATGAGAAAAAAGAAAAATATCAATTTGGGGATAATAAGTTGATCCAATATTAAATCCTCTGAGCAAACATTACAAGAATAGTATGGTTGACAGTAAGGAGAATTACAAATTTTATCTAGGAGTTAAGGGGTCAAAAATCGCGTCTATCCCTCCCATATTTCAAAACTTATTCTGTAAAGCAATCTTCTGTAGCACAATCCTCGCTTCAGGACACTTCAAACAAATTGAAAGTAACTCAAATGCACCAGCCAGCTTGAAGGCTTTACCCTCTGCATACGATTAAAAAAAAGAGGTACTCTTTTTTGGTAAGTACTAAAAGATTACCTTTACCTTTTCGTGAAGCTCTTTAAATTCCTCTTGGGTTCTGTGTTTTGCCTTAGAGAGACAGAGAGACAAACAAACAAACAAAACAAAAACAACCGTTGACATCAGCGGGCTTTAACGCACGTTGAGGGTACTTTGCGAAATATGAGTATCTTTAACCACCCTAAATAGCTTGAAATCCTCCAATAATCCTTCTCCAGTGAAGAAAGTAACAAACAAAAACGAGAAAACTCAGTTCTGAATGGTCAAGGGTGGCGAAGAGTAACAAGGACCACAAATGACGAACTTAAAAGATGATGAATGACAAAATTTAAAGTTGCAAAACTTACTGGGAACCTCTGGCGACGCTCTGCGATCATGTTCTGTAGTTCGGCGCGTCTTGCGTCAGTCAAGCCAGGCACAACGGGATAAGGAGTTTTACGATCTGCTTTATGCTGTTGATATCGGCGAAACTAGGGTAAAAAATAGAACAATTAATTAACAAAGGAAACTAAGTTCCAGAAACCAAATGATTTTCATCCTTGCCTTTAAAAATGAACAAAAGAGAATTGTAGTAGCCGCCTTTTGAGATTACAAAGAATAACCAGGGACGACGTCCCTTTTACTTTTTCCCGCCCAGGAATAACCAATCTTCGTATACTTTTTTTTTTTTTTTTTTTTTTGGAACAGCCTCCTCCTTCTCACCCATCTTTTTCTCCTTTTCGCACGTCCCCCTCCAAATCTCACCATCTCTCCCAAAGTTTCCAAAGATAAAAATTCCCACGCTCACTTGTCGCTGGATGGTAACAGCTGCTCTCTCTCGAGTTACTTCCTCGTTCCGTTCACGATATTTCTTTCGCGCCACCATGCCGCGAAACGCCGCTTGTATTTTACTTGCTGCCTTCACTTGATTTTCTTCCATAAACAAGTTCACTTCTCTGGCAGGTACGCTTTCCAACATCTTCAGCTGTTTTTGCATGGACGATCTGAACTCGTTGATTCTTTTCTGTTCCAGAGCCAATTTACGTTCTTCCCGCCGCTTCCCCTTCTCCTTTGTTCGCTCCTTGTCCAAGCGGCGTTGTCTGAATTTTCGCTGAAGTAGAATGATTCCCAACTCCGCTTGTTTGAGGCGCTGACGCTGTCTGGAGCCGCGGTAAAATGCTTGGATAGCCGTGGCAGCGCGAGAGAGTCTCTAAGATCAAAAATCACATAGAAACTGTAATTTAACGGGAATCTTCAAAATTTACGTCACTCTAAAGTTTGTTCTGATCTTTTGATCGATGGAACAACTTATACCTCTGGAATGAAAAATCAGCGATATCAAATCGCAAAACTGCTGATACATCTGAAACTTAAGGCACTCAACGGCAGTGCCCCCTTAAATTTAGTAAAAACAAGCACAGGACAAAAAGATACCCAAAGAAATTGGAACCAACGACCTTACAATGCAAACTTACACTTAGTAAACAATGCAAACTTACACTTAGTAAACCGTAACCGGCGTTAAAAAACAATAACAATAACAACAACTGCTTTAAGAGTAATCTTAATTGTAATTTTTCAACTTGCGTACCATTTGCTCAGCCTGAGCAATCGAACCAGCCTCCAGTAAAGACACAAGTCTCTTCACATCATTATCAAACCCTCTCGCCTTCCACTTACTGAGATACGCCTTCAAACCCCTAAAAAGAAGATGGTTACTTGACATCTCTTTAGAATAATACAACGTTTATTGCCTGACACTGAGTCAGATGAATAATATTGAAAACTAGTACTAAATGCCTCACCTCGCTCGTTGGGTTCTAGATCACCAAGACCTTGAGGAGGGGAGGGAAGGGTTTGAAGACCTTTGGTTTTATGTATTGTATCAGTCATTGAATGGGTTTGAGGGAGGAGAAGGGCCTCTTTAAATTGGCGATCCCTCCTGTATTCTCATGATCTTAATACTTGAGTTAGGGGTGTTATTGTAAGGAGAAATTAGAAGCAAGTCACTCCTACTCAGTGGTCACAGGGTTAGTGCTTTACTGCAAGTTGTAAAGCCATTTCAAACTCACCTGTATCTTTTTGAGAGCAAAATTTCAAGGATTGGTGGGTGAACATCTGTTGCTGTCAAAATGAGGTGAATTGATGCCCTATACAAGTAAATGTTGCCAAATAATTTTGAGTATAAGAAAGCAAGAAGTGGATTCTGATACATGAACGTCTTTAAAATCCTTCATTTCACAACATAGAGTTGCCATAAATTGTAGATTGAATAAAAAAGATGGTAAATTGTAGATTGTGACTTTCTGTTAATAACTGTCTTCCTCAATACCAGGCCTTATGGTAAGTTTTATAAAATATGCAGTATGTTGACTGACAGTACTAATCATATCAATGCACTTTTATGTTCTTCCATCAGTGCATTTTTATTTCAACAATTATTGCTCCAACAAAAGGATGTTTTTCAATGCCGATCTGACTCGCTATTGTGCATTTGATAGCAGGTATCTTTGTTTACAGAATTCTGATTCTGCCAAATCTGTTGATGTTATTTGGACAAAGTCTTCTGCTAGCAAATAGCTTGAATGTCAGCCCTGCACGTGTACCACTGATTGTCACATTACCTGACTGCACAACAATTGAATGAAGGAGATAAGTTTCTGAAAAAAACTGGTGCTGAGCAGTTGGGAAATTTTATAAAAATTTGGTCTTCTTAACTGAGTTGATAATGTAAATTGGCCACCATAAAGAGTTTTGAAGGCTGACATTTTAAGCTTCACCCCAATGGAGCAAAGGGCTTGAGTGAAGGGCCCTGATAAAGGGCTATTGCTCAAAACAACAGCTTTAGAAACTCTTGGTGGCCAATTTACATTATCAACTCAGTTGTTAATGTCCAAACTGTCTTGACAGCACAACAGTCAGCCAGTAACAAAAATAGACCTATCAGGGCACAACGATGCAGCCACAAGCAACAACAAACACCTTTAACAATGCCAGTTCTGTTTCACAATTCACCTTGCAACTGAAGATTCTTCAGAGGCTGATATCTTGAAAACAGTCTCATCCAAAATGCTGTAAAGGACATTTGGTTCAAGTTTTCCCATCAAAAACCTGACGAAACATTTTAGATGACATAATATCAACTAAAAACAGTCTTGTTGACTATATGTCATTACTTAACCCTTTCAATCCCAAGATGTTTTTGGTAATTCTCCTTAATGTCTGCTGTAAAATTTTTTAGGATGTCAGTTCAGAGAATTTGGTATTGGATCAACTAATAATCTCCAAATTGTTATTTTTCTTCATTTCCCGCACTAGCCTGCTTGATATTGTGTTGATATTGTGAGGAAACATTCTTTCTCAGTCACTCACGGGAGTTGAAGGGTCAAAATACATTGTCTCATAGCTGCACAGAAGATAAACAAACATGTAATTTAAAAAAAAGGTAACTGAATGAAACTCTCAGACCTGTTTGTTTTAAAAATATTTTCAAGAATCATCAAAATAAAGAGAGATGTGTCAACATCTTCAGACATCAGAATCTGTACAAAGCGCTTGGATTGCAGCACTGCAAAGAAACAGAAATAGACTCACATTAGATTCACCCACATGCACACAAAATAAGGAAATTATGATCAGACAATGGAATGTCTATAATTTCTGTTTTCCAAGAACATCATTATACAAATGTACATGACTGTTGAAAGTTTCACTTTTCAGCAAAAGTTTCATGCCTTTCAATTGTAAGAAATCAAAAACAAACTTGTGGAAACAAACTTTCCCTTTGCTGATGTCTTGTAAGTGGAACTCATAAAGTGTTGCACCTAAAACAATTTCTTCACTCAAAAATACTTAATATTTAAAGAAGTCTATTCCAACTTTGAAAACGTATGATGTTTTAAAACAGATTTTTACCAAATTGGAGCAATTCTCATGTAATGACAGGTCACCTATAGCCTAGCTTTGTTGATCACAGTTTGGAAAACATTATAATCACATGTATACTTACTGATATGTATTGCACTAAATTTATAATTAGGAGACTTTTTAAATTTTTTTATCTAGATCTTTTTCTTTACAATTTTTAAAGTAGTAGGGTCTAGATGAAAATTACTCTTTGAACCGCTGGTTTATCCTGCCTTTTAAATGAAGTGTTGTTGTTTTGTTTTGATAGGAAGTAGTCTATTAAATACATGTACATGATTTGTACAAAATTAAGGCAAGTTGCATCAAATACCATTGAAAGTGAGGAAAACATGAAAACTGTAAAGCCACTCCATGGAAATCAGTGTTGTCCTAAAATTTTGAAAATGTTTCTGTTTTTCCGTCATCTATTTCAGGAAGAAGAGAACAAATCAGAGTAAATATTTATAATGTCTCAAGGATATCATAAGAAATCTAGATATTAAAAGCAGTTCCTGAAGTGTTTAAGTCAATAAAAAATATTTACATTTTCACCCAGTCAGGTGAAAGGGCATGTCTAAATGGCCTTGTGGGCCATTTCTACCAGAGTTTGTCAAATGTTCTTAAGAGACTTTTGGTGGCCAGCCTTTCCTGATGCTTTCAATTAATCTTCTCTTTCAAGTCTAATAGTAAATTCCTTTGGGCATATAGGAAAATAAGGAAAAAGTCATAATTTTTCTTAGTTCAAGACTGGTATTGAACATAATCATTAAGCTGGCAGTGCTTAAGAAACAAGAAGCCAGTGAAAATACTAGCCGATGGTGCACTGCCACTGTACAGAAATATCTTTGGTTTCATTATATTTCATTTCTAATTCTGACGTGGGTACATTTTGTATTCTATTCTCATCTTACCTATCCCTACTAAATTTTCTAATGAATAAAATTTACTAATGAATACTCACCCATTGTGGAAAATCTAATGTGAATTAGGCTAAAACATGACTAATCTACCAAAGTAGAACATCTTACCACTCTTGTTTTGACAACGAAGTCAAGCAACTTTGCAGCCAAAGACAAGATATTCTCAACAACATCAGGGAGAAATTTTTCTTCATACTCAGGCATGTCTGGAAGTTTGAGACCCACACAGCTCTGACATAAAATGGCTCCCAACTGGGTGGCAGTGTCCCATCCTCCTGCTATTGCAGCAAAGTCTTGCTTCAAAGCTTAAAAAATAAAATAAAAGTTGATATTTTGTTCAGAATAAAACTTGAATGGAAAGCGCTAATCTTAACAATTTTTTTTAATCATTTCCAACCCTGTGAAATAATATTCCAGTAGAAAAATGGAATGTTAGAAGAGTAGCTCTTGCGAAGTGATCTCAATCTGGATACCAAAGTCTGATTTTGATAAATTTCAATGCACTTTACTCGTACCTAGGTTGCAAACTTGAATAACATCATAATTCCACAGATGATTCCTGAGAACTTCTCCCAAGCTACTTCTCGGAGGAGCCAAGTCGAGGATGTCTGACAGAAAAAATAATCACAATACATCAACTATCATAATTCACTTATACCTCAACACTTTAGTGGGTAAGCTGAGGGGAAAAACTGTACTCTGAAAGCCTTGGAAATTAATAAGCCCTTCTGCAGCTAATTAGACTATTCATATAATTTTCTCCAGCAGTTCTTGGGAGACCAGGTCAGTTTTCAAATCTTCACCTTGTTCATAGAATATTCACGATAAGTAATTACTAATGACCTTACATTAATGTTTCAGAAAGTTACGGATAATTTTCATCAGCTCTTGGGATTTCAGTTCAGTTTTAAACTTTCCACCTTGTTCACAGTCTGCTATGATGAATACTTAAGCTCAATACTTGCCTTGCAAATTGACTTAAGCTTAATTCGAATGGTTACATTTGTTATGCATACAAATTGCTAGCCTAACTGATGTCAAACTGTTAGCCTAACTTATGAAAAAAATATTGAAAAGTGTACCTTTCAATTGTAACAGTAAAACAGGGACATTACTGTCGTCCGTTTCAGCTACTTCGGCTGCTAGATGCAAGGCTCGTTCGATAATTTGCTGTGTTCGTTCATCGCTTTCCATCGATTGAAAACTATTAATTTATCATTTACCAAAACAAAGAACTCTGTCTAAAAATTCTTTCAGCCTACTGATTTGACAGGCCATTTTATTTTGTCACCACTGCCACTGTTCTTGTCAACTTTTGGGTTATGGTTGAATGGGGCCAAAATATTGTGAATTGAATCGAGAAAATCTTCAAATTGACTTATTTCAAAATGGCCGCCTAATCAGCTAGGGCTTAGTAAGGTCGTGCCAATTGACCAATGACAGCAGCTGTAATTTGAAATTGCCAGGGAACCTACCAATCAGAAGGCGCGTTATGAAACTAATTCGCGCGGGAAGGCCGTTGTTCCCGAAGTCCCTGGTTGAAATAAATAGCGAGGTACAGCGACTAACTGAAAAGTTCTGCGTACATATATACAAGATTGAAAATGGGAAAGAAGAAAACAGCATTGGAAGGGAAACAGCCAACTATAGAACAAGAGAGTGTTGATGAGGAGATATATGAAGTGGAAAAAGTAGTGGGCAAGCGTATACATCAGGGAAAGGTTGAATACCTTCTTAAATGGAAGGGATATTCTTCCAACGATAATACCTGGGAACCCGAGGACAGTTTAGACTGCTCAGAGTTACTTCAAGAATACGAAAAGAATAAGGAAAGACATGAGGCTAGGCTTGAGGCTACAGTAAAAAAGGAGAAAAAAGAGAAAAGAAAAGAACCCAGGTTTGTGAAATTTGTTTGGAATATTTACATGGTTTGTTCGCTCACGTTGCGAATGTGAGTATTTGTCTGTGATCTCAAAGGTTTAATTAATCTTTCAAAGTCATTACTGATTCCTCTGAAAACGAACACAGCAGAAGCTCTTGGGAGTAAGATGGTAAAATAATTGTTCATGTAATAATTAATGGAAATCTTTCTCGCCGTATCGTACATGTAGTCTTAACTTTCCGTATGCTTATGTAAGATTTTTTCCAACAGTCAAGTTACTTGCCTTTTGGTATCGCTTTCGCATATGGTGGGTTAGTTCTCCATGTCTTACACAGATATGCTGCATTTATCATCGAAGACAATTGGGGGGAATTAAACTGATTGTGAAAAATTTGTGATCTGTAAGTGCACTTGATGCCCCAAACCTATGGTACATCTTGTGCTTTTAGTAACATTGGATTACGTCAGATTGGTACAGCTCAATAAATTGTGAGTTTGATGTGCATTTTTATTGAAGCCCAAAATGTTTACAGTGTAATCTTGATGTTACTTGTATACTCATCACCCTTTTTGGGTCAGATTTGGCATCAAGAGGTCGTTATTAAACATGTAAACACGAAATGACAGTGCTTTACTTATTAAAGAAAATAGGCCTCATGTATGCACAAGGTGTTATTATTATTTCTCATTTCGGTGGCTGAGCATTAAGTGACCACAAATTTTCCTAAGGCTTTAAATTAATTATTGTTTTTTGGTGTTGTTTACACCTCATTGTATTGTGTGTTTTTTCTTCACAATTTATACTGTTAACCCATCAGACCCTAACATGAATACTCTTATTATATGGATGTGAGTGTTTTACCAACAACCAAAACATTCATACAATCAATACGACCATTACATCCGCAAATGGAGTGGTCTGTCTTTCATATGTAACACAAATGGCAATATTGAGCAACAAAGTCACAATTCCCTGCCTTTTCAAACTTTGAGGAATGAACTTTGTTTGTGTGTTGTTTGGTATATTAAATAGCTGCAAGATTTGTTTTGGTAAGCAATGAAGATGTAAATGCACCTCCCAAACAACTAGAGAACAAGAAAACCAAAATAGAATTCATTTTCATTGAAGATTTTCAAGGAATTCTTGAAAGTTGCAACAAAATTTCAGTTCTGTGTATGCTGAATAACCTTCAAAGGTTCATAGTGAAAAGAGGCTAAAAATGAAAGTATGTATGTGTAATAATTCAAGTCAGAGACAGTAATAAAATGCTCATTAAGCCCATTTAACCGGTTCACACAGGGCAGGAAATTGATTTTTTTTTCTGATAGCCACTCAAAAAAAGTTGGTCACCATTTTCAAAGACAAACAAAACTTTTTTTTATGCTGTCAGTGGTCCAGATAGACCCTCCAAAATTAAGTTAGTGAAAAGATCTTTAATGTGTTACAAAGTGGACACTAGGATGGATGATATACAACCTTCAAGCTCACCTAAATCCAAGATGGTGTCTAGTTATTTATCGAGATACATGTGCTGTGTTTTGGAAACAAACTTAACAAGGAAGTTTGCTTAGGGTTTATCTTTGCAAATCTTTTTAATTTACTATATCCCTTGGTAAGGTTATGATGAAACATTCTAGTTGCCAATTTGGCAACTAATTTTCAGGATTGGGTTGCAAAAGTGAAAAATGTAGTCACATTGGCGTCTGTATTTAGGTGCTATTTCACACCTTGTCCCATGTATTTTGGCCTAACTGACCTTATTATAATTTGGGCAACAGATATTTTGTTTGTATTGTTATCCAGTAATTGTATTAAAGCCAGCTTTTCAGTTTATACCATGTATATTTATTGTCCTTGTAATAAAAAGAAAATTACGCATTAACCCAAAGATATGAATTTTATGTTATCATGGCACAAATAATATCTCACTCATGAGATATTATTCTTGCTACTTGAAAATTAAGTTAATATCTTCTTGTCACCATGTAATATCCTCTTTATATTCTCCACACTGTTCTCTATACATTTTTTTAAGGTGTTGACAAGGAGAATTTGTTTAACAACCAGGAGCTTCTCCAGTTGATGATTATTTCATTTATGCTTGTGAATTTGATGTGAGATTTAGGGGGTGATATTGTTTGGAGAAATTAGATTCTAATCCCTCAAAGGGGACAAGAGGTGGAAGAGGAGATGTTCTAGATTTTAACTAAAATTAATGGTGTTCTAACTCAACCTTCTTTCTTCAGTGAAATTAAGGCTGAGGGTAAAACCAAGAGGCGAAAACTTGCAGAAACAGTTGGTGGTAAGAAGGAAAAATCTTACCAGCAAGCAAATGAGTCGAATGATGTCACTGAAGAGGAGCCTGGAAAAGAAGATGATGTAGATCCCCTTGCTGAAGGGTGGGAAGCTTCTGATATTCTTGGAGCCACAGATGTGGAAGGGAAGGTTCATTTCCTTATAAAATGGTAAGTTTGGGTTGACTTGTGATGGTAGCCTGCATTGTAGGCTTGTTATTAGAGCAAGTTAACATTACAAGCTCACAGTTCTTTATTCAACCAACCTTGTTTGATTTAGAGTTGGAATGAACAGTGGGGAAAGAGGACAGAGAAAGGCAAGAAGATGAGACACCCTTTGATTAGGTGTGCATCTCTGCATTTCTGGAAGTGAGCTTATAACCAATCAATAGTAGTTTATTTAAAAACTGGAGGCACTGTCTTCCAACAAAAACAAACACATGCAGAGCTAATGACGAAACAGTTTCTTTCAGGAAGGATAGAAATGGCTGAGAGAAAACCTCCTCTGCAGTTATCTTTACGCAGATATCTTCATAAAGAGGAATATCTTCCTCTTGATGACCATGTTACAAATTAAGAAGACCAAAAGGTGCAAAATAATGATAAATGTTGACTTTTTTTGTAATTTATTTTTCCAGGAAAGACACTGATAGAGCAGATTTGATACCATCCACTATTGCAAATAAAAGATGGCCACAGATAGTTATTAAGTTTTATGAAGACAGGGTAACATGGACCCAAACAAATGATAAGGAGGAAAATGGAGACAGCTGAGGGAGTTTTTACCCATCATCTTTTTATTTGGCAGCTTGATGTTTGTAAAAACTATCTGAAATCAGTTGCTGTATAGGCTTATCACTGTTCTACCTAATCTGCAACAAGACTATACAAATTGCGTGGAAAGGTTTTTACGTCAAGTCAGAAGGACACATGGGCACAAGTTTGTTTGCTTTGATGTTCTCAGCATCTGTTTTGTTTATTTTTGGATACTTTTTAACAACAACACAACAATAGCTAGTTCAGGGTTTATGATGTCAATGATACCTTTGAAAGTTAAGGAATTCTACATTATAATTTTCCAGGCCTTGAAAGTTGTGGTGTGTGCCATCTTTATCCCTGAAAATGACTGGAAATAATATATTTAAGAATGACAAGGAAAAAAAATACCTTTATTTCCTAATTGATTCTATATTATTTTTGAGCCATTTCTCAATCTTATGTCAATGATAACAGCAAAGAGGACCAGGAAAGGGTCAAAGAAAAGCAGGGCATTTTATGATTTTAAAAGAAATACAACCTTGTACAATAGATCCTGTTTTTGAGATTAAGGAATATAAATGTAGCTTCGGATGGCAAGTGATGATAATAGGACTGAGTGGAGTTCAATTAAGTCTGTTACTGTACAAGTGAGTAGTGAAATTGGACAAGCAGGAAGTGAGAATCCAACTTGTTATTAGAGTATTATTAAAGACAATTGGATGAAACAAAGTCCTGTTACCAATTAATCAAAACTATGGCAAAATTTTAGACTCAAATTAATTTTTAATGTTATACATTTTCATGCAAAAAAACAACAGTTAACCTGGCGAAATGCGAGACAACAGAGCATGCATGTTGTTCATTTGTACAGCCATTACACGCACACTGTCCAATTACATAGACATGATGCATACATTGTCCAATTTCAAGCATGACTCGTTCACTGTCCTATTGGTGCTCAAATCTGGCTGGTGATAACTAATCATGGTAAATAATTTTGTTCTAGTTTTGATTATGTTAGAAATAACTACCATTTATTCTACTTGTTTTAACTCAAGGGATTGTGTGTACTTTGTAAGTAAAGACTTGTTTATTTTATGAGCCTATGTTATGCGCAATGTAGAAATAAAACAAGAAATAACATGTTAACCCTTAAACTCCAAGAAGTGATTAACATGTACCTCCCCTCCAAAAATCCATACATTATCCAACAAACAGTAATTAATGAGAATACTCAAACTGATCAGGTAGAAGTTGTTGTCTTGATCCAACCCTAAAGTCTTGTATCTAATTTACAGGGAATTTGTAACATCTAGAGGGTACAATTCACTAACAAATCTTAGGAGTTAACCATTTAACTCCCACATCAAATTTGTAAGTCTCCCTGTCAACCATACAATTATAATATTAGTTCAGTTTGGATCAATTAGTTATCCCCAAATTGATGTTTTTCTTTATTCTCATTACCTATCTGGTTGATGTTGTATAAATATTTTAAGGAAAAATTCTGTCTTGGTCACTCATGGTAGTTAACCCTTTAACATCCATAAGGGGTTAAAATCTTTTACAGTGACATGGTTTTGCAATCCAGTCATTTGTAAGCTTTTCTTTTTAAGACCCATTTGAAAAACCATCATCTTAGACTTGAAAATATCCAGGTAACGATCCAAGGAAAAGCCAAATTCTTGCCAGCAAGATGATGGAAATTTTGTTGGATCAATATCAGTATCTGTGCAACTGCCCACCTACCCCTCCCCTAACTTAACAACAGTCAATTGACAACAACTTAAGGTTGATGTTGGATTAGGGGAGGGGTAGGTGGGCAGTTCAGATACTGATATTGATCCATTTTGTTAATGAAGAGGGAACAGCTTACAAAGTAGATGAGGCTGGCTTTTCTTGCCATAGTTACACATGACATGACTCATCTAACATCCTAGCACTTTAGGCAACATTAATTTGTTAATGTCATTTTGCTAGTTCTAATAAATTAAATTGTGTTCCTTTTTCTCATGGTCCTCAATGTGTTGTTTTTTCCACAGTAGATTTAAAGGATGCAACCTTCCAGGGTTAAAAGATATGTTCTCATTGGAACTGTAAAAAGTTTCAACTTTCCATTTTTGAAATCTGAAAAAGCAAATACAATATCTTCCTCCGCAAACTTCAACATAGTTTTAGCCTTTTGACCTCAAAGAGTGACTGACATCTGAGTTCTTGTTGCGGTTTCACCGCTGAATCAAATGTTAAAGTCACAAGAAGAAAGAAAGTGATCAACTTAGGAAGCACTTGACTGTTAAACAAATTTTCTTTGTCAGAAACTAAGGAAATTTACAGAGGACAGAATGGAGAATATGCATACTGCTGGTAGCATAGAGATGGCTTCAACAGGAAAATGCCCAGCAGCATTCGAATACACTAACAAATTAACTTGAGTAATTCTTACCTCTTTCAGTTGTAATCAGATTTATTACATGCATCATGAGATTTACACTGAAGTCAGTTTTGTTTGTGTCTCTGATTAGATGAGCAATGTATTTTCACATTTGTTTGCTTTGTATGTTACAATGTAGATCTTGACAGTGTAGATATTGGCAGAGTAGATCTCAGTAAGTATGAAACAAAAACATACCATGGAAAGTGTGCACAAACCACTGCGCTCACTCATTCCTTTTTTTTGTTGCCTCACAACCTATAAAAGTTGTCCGAGTGCACATTCCATGGAATAATTACTTTATACTGAATTTTCTTTGGTTCAGTTGTTACTGAAAAGTACTTAAAAGTTGTATACTTGTTTCTGACATTTATCAAAATGTTTTTCCCTTACAACCATTAGTGGATCAATTGTCCAGCAGGGATGGGATGAGAAGTAAGAAGACTATTGATCAAACTCAGAATTCTCTGTACAAAAATGGAAATTTAAAGCAGATAGTTGTGAGCATTAACCAATTCAACCTTAAATGTGACTGGCTTCTAATTGCACCTTGCAGTATAACCCTTGAATCAAGTGTAAATATCATGAGAATACAGGAAATGATCACCAGTTTAAAAAGCTCCTGAATAATGTCAAATAAATTCTCTTTGTTGTTATCACATGAATGTAGAGAGATCAGTGCAGAGAATATGAATACTGATGTTAGAGTGTAAAGGGTTAATATTGAGATCTTGCTATTGTGAGGGTCAAGAGTGGCATTTTGCAATCACTGTATCTACTTTATTAAACCCTGTGATGGGTATTTTAATTTTTAGCTTTGATCCAACAGTGTTCATTAAGAAATCTCTACTGTCACTATGTGAAACAAACATGTCTTGGTTCCATTGTCTTGTTTTTCTCACTGTCTGGCTCATGATATTTAAAATTTTACAACAATGATGAAGATCATTCAGATGAACTGATCTTTTCTTTCCTCAGAGTTCACATATTTCTCCTAGATAAAAAGGGATGACAAAGTACTGCAGAAAAAAAAACATCCAAAGCAGGCTCATATCCTGAAATAGCTCAAAGACTAACAACCCGATACACAATTATTTTGTACATTTATTTTCAAGCCAAACATGTTTTCCAGTGTTATTTCACTGTAGACATATGATACATTAGAGCATTGTGTTTTGTCATCAGCTTGAAATAGTTTCTGTTAAAATCCACACATTGCATCAGCTGAGTAAACCCATAGACCTTGTTCTTGACTGTCATAAACTTCACAGCTGTGTCTTGATTTAAGCCCAAAGAAGACTGACAATAAAAAAAAAAAAATTCAAATTTCTCTTTTTTTTTTTACTACAAGTAGATGGCATGGTAATACTTGGAGCTTGGGTGTTGTGGAGCTGAATACATTAAAATATATAATAAGCTGAATTATATCTGCATGTTGATTGGTTCTTGCTTATAATCTACCAGAAGATGCACCCATGGATGACAAGAACAACAACAGGTTTAGCTTCTTTATAAAATATAGAGCACAAATAGATGCCATGTTGCTGTAAGTCTGCTCAGTAGTAGGTCACAGATGACCTCAAAATGTGATAAGAACATCGGTGACACACTCTGCTGCACCTCTTTTTTGTTCCTACCCACATTATGACGTCTGTTAGTAACATAAATAGTCAGTGACTAGTTAAACACCCGTTGGACCATTAAATGATTGTCGATATTCTTACCTAAAACGTATCAAGCCGATGGAAATTACTCAATCAGAAATTCAAATTACTCAATCAGAGAAAAACGCTACCTAAAATAGAGCTTTATAAACATCGGTCAAATAACACATGTTTTATATATCATATGACTAACTTTAAGTACTGTTTGTGAACAATAAAATTGGGTGACGTACGAGCAAATCAACCCCAAAAATGAGGAAAAGAGAGCAGAAATTATTCCCGGAAACACTCAACAAGTTACACCAAAGCCTTTAAGTTACGGTGTTCTTCACACGTGGTTAGTGATCTCCACAAACTGGTTTACCTTAACAAAGTTGGTTCTGGCATTCCAGGCTCTCCACCCTGCTTTAGTCCTGAAAAGAGACGAGATCGAGCTCTAGTAAGTACCTTCTATATCTTATAGTTATTTCTAATATCATTTAGCACAATTTAGTCCCGGGAAATATGACCAAATACGAGCTATGCTGCAGATACGTGAGTTAACGTACCCAGATATATAATCAGCGGGATAAAACCCCAATGAAATGCTGTCTTGCTAAATTTTATGACAGTCTGGACCCTCTTCTTCGTTTCTGGCCTCATCTTAACCATTTTTAGCAAAAAGATGAGTTTCAAAGGTTGTTATAAATGGATTATGAACAAGGTATCGTTGCTGCTATTCTCAAAGATGGCGAGTTGACCCAGAAGGCTTTACGCAAGTGTGGCTGCTAAGTCGAACCACAGGGTACCCAGCAGGACTGTGAAAAATTTCATGGTTTAGAGCGAGACAGAAGCTTAGAAAGTTTTTTTCGGCTTCTTTCATACCCATCGAATTACGGGTATGAAACCCGTGGCACATCTGGAAGCATCCACGGGCCTCCTTCCAGGTTTCCACTCCTCTTTCAGGTTCATTCCGTTGCGGCAAAAATCGCACTTAGACGGTCGATCTGACGAAGGGCTAAAGCTAGAAATGTCAGCTTAGAAACTCTCTACGAAGGCCAAATTACATTTTCAACTTACATAGACATTATTCATCGCCTGGAAAGGGAAGGGGGATTGAGATTTTAGCTGTGGGGGGGGGGAGGGGAGAAAATTCCTCCACCCCCCCTCCCATTAACCCACTTCGCCCTGGTAAATGATTACTGGACCCCTAAGGCTCCTCATTTGCGAATTACACTATATTTTACATCGGTATGCAGAAAAAAATCTCACTGAGAACTAAACAGGCGCATAGGTGGTTTTTTTTTTGGTAAAAAAGAAAGGGGGCTGCACTGGTAACCTCCTGGCATCGTGGGATATACCAGATTATTTAAATAGGAGGGGTGGATCTAGGGGAACCCCTTCTACTAGCCGCGCCCTTGCAAAGGTGCACCTGTCTTAAACTCTGTTCTTCTGATGTTGCCGTATTGAGTGAAAATGATAAAATGGATGCATTAGATCAAGTTTGAATCGAAATTGTGCCGGACGCATAGCGGGGGTTGTTTCCGATGCCGAACTATCACTTCCTTGCACGCCATTTATTGCGCCTGTTGCGCGGCCCATGAGAATTACGGCGTTTGAATTAATTGATCTGGCCTTGTATTACTTGTCTGTGCAGTCATAACCCCACAAACTGACCGGGCTCCCTCTACTGATTCCTTTTGCTTTGTACTGTTTTCTCTTACTAGGCGCACAAAAACAGAAAGAGTAAATTTTCTTACGTGTAAATAGGAGATGCAATACTTACCTATGAGAATTATCTAGTGTTATGTGCGGCACTATGAAGAAAAATGATTAAATGATTTGATTGGTGAGAGCCTCAATGCGGCTAATTCCGATCGAGATTTTCACTTAGTCAAATTGGAAGAAGATGGTTTAACCTTAGTCCCGTCGATTCTTACTTTTTGAAGTCTCCGTGCGAGTTAACAATCAGTAAATTAAGTATATCTGATATTTTTTCACTTACAAACTGAATAATATTGCGTGAGACAATTGACTTTTAAAAAACTTGAAAAGGGATTGTCGAAACTGAAGAGAGCTTAGCCATATCGAGATTTTTTATCTTTTAAAACCACTCGAAATACAAGGCCGCGAAGACTTAACACTACAAGTTCAATAAATCAGTTACAACTTTGTTGCCAATTAATTGTAAGTGGGTCTCGATTTTGACGACCGAAATACGATTTGAATCAAGTTGAAAACGTTCCAGTTACGCCTGCAGAAGTTTCATTATAACTTCATTGCCTGCGGCGAAATAGAGAAATTGTCCTAGTAAATTGCATTTTGTTGAGACTGTGTGTAAGACGTGTTTAATGTAAGTCAAAAGCAAAGTGCTACACTTGTACTACAGTGTTACAGAGTTATAGACTGAAAATACTTTCAAATCATTTTTCAAATGAGAATTAATTGTTCGCTGAATAAAATACTGATTTAACGGATAGTGCACGGTGAAACCTTCATCGGAAAACAGGCCTTCTCCTGGCCCTGTGATAGAAATGCTGATAATTTCGTTCTTTTTATTATTGTATCCGCTTTGGTGCGATAATAGGTCATATCGGACGCGGTGTCAATAATTTTATCAGTTTTAGTGTCCAAATCAATGGAACTTAATCAATAAAGTAAAACTTTACTATTGTTTTATCTACATTTGTTTTAACATTTGTGCATCTCGAGAGACTACCTATTTGAGGTAGTTCTTATTTAGTTTGCACGGGGTGGGAAAATGAAAACATCGAGAATTTGTAAAACAGGATTACAATTGGGAACAAACAACTCTCTCTTACGTGTTTCCTTTGGCGTAACATTGAAACAATACTGGCATAATAGATGCGAGAAAAACCAAATTTCTACTGTCAGGATACTATTACATGCATTACCACAAACCACGAAACGGATG